AGGCTTTTAAAAGCAGACAAATACTGTAGTCTGAACCAAAAAACAAAGGCAAAAAGTCACTTAATGTCAACAAATATTTAAAACAATGGGTAGAGTTTCATAATTTTTCTTGTTCAAGTGTATTCTGGGACTAAAAATGTGAAGAAAGCTTACCACAACTCTCGGGAATGTGTGTATTGATTAAACCAAGTTCCCAGGCTCTTTTAATTAGGGGGAAAGGGTACTAAAAGAAAAAAAACAAACAAACAAACCTCAGTTATAATACATTTAAAACTTTCCTAGTCTGATTATATAATCTTGTAAAAAATGTAAATTTTTTTCTCCCTAATATTTGTATACCTACTTCACCAGTTTTATCATATTCTGCAGCAACTGGGATTATTTCCTCTCTGGCAAATTTACGAGCAGTAGCTTGAAATTCTTTCTGTTGTTCAGTGAACTCTAAGAGAAAGATATTTAGAAAACATTAAAATGGGACAATGAGTTGAGGAAGAAAGCCCTATAAAATTGGTATGTGGAAATTTATATATATAATGGGGAAGGTAATTTTTGATTAGCCACAAAGACAAAAACTATATTTTCTGACTAATCAAATTCACTGTACAGTATAAACAAGTCTATGTCAATACAAATGCTGAAGGAAATAAGATTTCTCGTTTCTACAAGTAAATAACAGATATAAATCTGTAGAGCTCAAGGGTTTTCCTTATCTGATTGGTGAGATAAGAAATTACTTATTTCTAATACATAATATGACTTATCAAGTATTTCCTAATATTGGAGTGAAACTAATTTACCTGATATCAAGAATAAGTCTAAGGCATTGAAACATTTTCCATGAACATAAAACAACAAAATTTGTTTCAAAGAATTATATAAAATAATTTAAACAAATTTTAAGTGTAAAAATTAGCACAAAGAAACCAGTAAAAGTGATGGGATATTTTCTCAGAAGACAGTAGTAACATAAACTCCTGCTGCATTGCTAGTAAGTGGTGTCCAACAATTCATTTATATAAAATGTTATTAGAAAATGAATGAAATGAAAATAGTGGCTGGACTGAGGATAAGAGTCAACCAACCACTAGCTGGGTGCAGTGGCAAATCCCTGTAATCCCAACAACTTGGGAGGCTGAGAAAGGAGAATCACGAGTTCAAAGCCAGCCTCAGCAACTTAGATTAGGCCCTCAGCAACTCAAGGAGACCCTGTCTCCAATAATATATATGTATATGTGTGTGTATGTGTGTGTGTGTGTGTATATATATATATATATATATATATATATATATATATATACTGGGGATGTGGCTCAGTGGTTAAGTGCCCCTGGGATCAATCCCTGGGTACCAAAAAAAAAAAATAAAAATAAAAAAAAGGGTCAACCACTGACTATATTTTTACAAATCTATGTTATCTAGTGTCTTAAGGTAGTTGCATCCAACATCAAAACTAGATTACTTACAAGAAACATAGGGTATTTTAGGCAAGAAAAATGAGAAAAACACAGAAGAATGAACAAGAATGTTTTAAGACTCTAGTAATCACTTGTCTGGAAACATGGGGGAGAAAATGTAAGATAACAGAATTTGGGTACTGAATTGAAGAATGTAAGATGCAATCTCTCATTTTATAGACAAGGAAGTTAAAGCACTGAGGCAACAAATGATTAGACCCATAGTCTTATAATGAAATAGCAGAAGTGGTTCAAGTCAGGGTTTTTATATCTTAACTTCTTTTCTAGGAGTGGTCAGTCCATATCAAGGTTGTGGGTAGGTAAAGGTAGACAAGACAGGGATCTATCATGTATTATTTATTGAGAAACTACTTTGATCCAGTCATTCACTATATGTTAGGGACTTTATATACTGCATATAATTTAATCTTCAAAGAAATTCTTGGTAATATTCATTATCTCCATTTTATAAAAAATCAGATCAACTGGTCATATGTGTTATTCTATATTCTTTTCTTTGGCTTCAATATCTCCCTCCCAAATATTTGTAGCTATCTCATTCTCTGGCACTCCAAAACCCATCACAGCCTTCTGCTAGTTTCTTACTATAGTGATTATTACCAAATCAATGCTAATGTCTCAATAAGACCCATTGAATCAAACCACTATCCTCACACCAACTGAAAATTTTTCATTTCATTCTGGCAAAATATTTTATAATCAAGGGGGAAAAATTCTGAACAAAAGCAATAACCTTAAAGACTGTCTATTTCACCTCAGTGTGAGTTAATTATCTTAGGTGCCTTGTAATTATTTTTTGAGATTAAGTTAACTAAGAAAATGTTTGTTTGTTTTTTTTAACTAGAGGAAAGGTAAAAACTTTGAAGCAAGAAGTTCTTTTAGGAGGCAAAGAATGCCAAAGATAGGAATTATTATTAAATTTTTTTTTGGCCTGGGGTTTTCCTTTCATAAAAGGGAAATAAAATCTATTATTTTTCCCTCCAATATCACATTACTCCCATCTCCCATATCTGACAATTTCATCTAATTGCACCAAAACTGCAATTCAGATTAAATGATGACCAAAATGGGCTTAGTTTATTATTAGACAGCTAGCATTATATATCTAATAAGTGTTTTAAGACTCATGAGTATTTGTTGAATTCAAATTTGTAAGTCAAGGACTATTCATAAATACAGTAAATCTGCCATTTATTTTTGGCTACATACTTAGAAAAAAGGAAAAGAATATTTGTATGTATGTTGCTAACACAGATCAAATGTATTTGTTTATTTATTTGGTACTGGGGATTTAACCCAGGGGTACTTTGCCCCAGAACTACATCCCCACCCCTTTTTTTGTTTTTGAGACTTGGTCTCATTAAATTTTCGAGGCTGACCTTGAACTTGTGATCCTCCTGTCTCACCCTCCCAAGCTCCTGGAATTACATTTGTGCACCACTGCCCCTGGCCATAGATCGATTGTATAGAATAATATGCTGAACAAAAAAATGTGTAAGGAAGAATGGGGGTAACTGACTTAATCTCTATGTATGAATGATGACTGGGTTCTACTCATTATCAAGTTTATAAACAGATTCCAGACAAGTCCATTTTAAAATCAAAAGACAGAACATAACACATACCAAAACTAAATCCTAATCCTGGTTCTCGTTTTTGATGAGCTTTTGTATGTTGTGATCTCCAGTCAAAATGAGAAATAATACTTCTCAGGACCTGTAAAAGATAATCTTATTAAAAATAAATTTGATAAATTACATATCAATCAAATAAGAGAATTCTGACCATTTTTATCAACGGGTACAACAGTTTTTAAAGTCATTATTAAATGTCTTTAATTATAATTTAAATAAACCAATTACCAGCTATATGAGTACCTATTATAGAGAAAATTAATGTAAATAAAATTAGTGATATTTGCACTACTGAAGTGGAGGGTTTCCAGGACAGACAACAGGGAAAAGACACTATTTTGGAAATTTTATCAATAAACTCCTAGGACATTGGTGAAGAGGAAGCTGATGAAGGGAGAATAGTAATATGGATTTGATAACCTGATAACCAGTCCCTGTGATCCTCCCAGATATGCCTCTGGGAATCTTCCCATGGAGGATTCCATTTTCTAAGATGACTCACTCTATCTAACAAAATAAATCAGAATGAAACCATGTTCTATAATTAATTCTGTTGTTTATAGGCCTTCATACACGGTTCTAAGCCAGGAGCCAGCAAAATACAGCAGCTACCAGTTTTTTTGTTTGGTTAAATTTTTTTTCTTTTAAGCAGGGGGGCAATACTAGGGATCAAACCCAGGGGTGCTTACCCACTAAGCAACATCCACAGAAATTTTTATTTTTTATTTTGAGACAGAGTCTGGCTAAGTTGCTTAGGGCCTCACTAAATTATTGAGGCTGACCTTGAATTTAGTAATCCTCCTGCTTGGTATCTTCCAAAGTTGCATGGATTACAGGCATGCACCACACTGCTTCTGGCTGGTCACCAGTTTTTTAAGTAAAGCCTTTTTGGAACATAGCCGCACCATAACCTCTATTGCTACTTTCACAGTAAAGCTATGTGATTGAAACAGACACCATAGGTCTACAAAGCCAAAGATAGTTACTATTTGTTCCTTTATAAAAAGTTTGCCAGCTCTGTTCTAACTATTAATATACAACTTGTCTTAATATCTGAAATATACTCAAATTTCTTCAAGGATATATTGAAAAAATACAATCAAGATACACAAATACTATTCCTTTGGAACCCATTTTTATATTCACTACAATTTAATGGACACAAAAGTAACCGTTAGTATTAAAGTTATCAAACTGGAAACTATAATAAGGTTTAATTTAATTTAAACCATAATAAAGGTCTGAGTTCAGAGAAAACCTATAAATGGAAAGCAATTTATACTTTAAAGATTTTGATGGAACTATACCTACATAGTTTTAATAAGCTAGGTACTGAGAGAAAAGAGAAGCTGTACAATACACTAAAGTTTCTAGAACCTAAGTTTTTCAAAATATGTAGAAAGAAACTGACCACTTTATAAAGGATAATTTCAACTGATAAGTGTCACCTGCATTTAAGCTGACAATATGACTGCCAAATATAGTAATTTAAATAGCCTTTTCAAAAATAACATACCTCCAACTATGACTTTAAAATAATACACTGTATGAAAACATTTTCTTTAAAGTTTTTATTAACTTTGTTTTGGAAGTAAAACATGATTTCTTTTGTCCTCCTTGTATAGTCTTCACAGACCAAACATATTCTTTACAGTCACATTACACATATTACACATTAATTCACTGAATCTCAGGTCAAACCCAGAATTAAGGAACTGTTTTTTTTTTTTTAAATTATCATTTTGTATAGGAAGAAACTGAGGTTCAGGAAGGTCAAGTAAAATTAGCCAAGATCACTCTACACTTAGGTAGTGGGATCAGAATTCTAATTCTCACATTTATTATTAAGAGTCCATGCTATTAACCATTTTGCTTTAGTTATACTGGTCTTTCAATTAATTTCCTATCTGATCATTAGGTTCCAGAACAAAGAAAAACACCCACAAAAATCAGACCAAATAACCTCATTCTACTATAATGTGTTTAAACATCATTGTATAAAAATCATTCTTCACAAACAGGTAAAATGGTCTGCTGAGAGACATTAAGGAATTATTTGTGGACTTAAAGTAATTTACAAGAAGTCAGTTTACATGGGTTTTCAAGAAGACATGTTATATAAAATAAGTGCAAAGGTTTCTACAGCCAAGAACACCGCCCACTATGCCCACTAACCTATTAATTACGTAACAATGTTAAACATTTATTTAGAGAAATGGTCTAGTAGAAAAAAGAAACAGCACAAGATTTCAAGTTAGAATTGCTGAATTTGAATGTAGATAGCACAACTATCTTTGTGACCTTGGACAGGTTACAAACTTCTTATACCTTCTATTCGTGCCAGAAAACTGGGGGTTAATCTCACTGGATAATTTGGGGGTGATTTAAATAATACAATGTTTTGAAAGCCTCATGTCATAAAATATTGGTTTTATTGCTTAGGGCTGTCTTCGGAGAACAATGGTATTCCAAATAGGCAAAAGATAGCAACTTCAATTATCCATTTTGCAATTAAAGCACCATTACAATTAAATATTTCCAGACATTTCTTAGAAATATAAGGGGCCGGGGTTATGGTTCAGTGGTAGAGCGCTCCCCTGGCACGGGTGAGACCTTGGGTTTGATCCTCAGCACCACATAAAAATAAATAAGTGAAATAAAGGTATTGTGTCCAAGTACAACTAAAAAATAAATATATATTAAAAAAAGAAATATAAAGTGTCTTAGTTTTATGGGGATGCCCAAAAAGAGATAAAGGAATGTACATTTTATGATTTGGTTTGTTTTGTTTTTCTAGATCCTTTCTTGGGAGAGTTGAGATATCTATTTTCTGATGTCAGAGTTAAAAGTAATTCTTAAAATACTCCAACTTCTGCCTTTAGAGCCCAATAACTTGTATATACAACAACGGCAAAAATTGGGCAATGATTCAATAGGATTATTGTAAATTCTAAAACTGGAGGGGCTTTTTCTATTTTTTTTTCATCAGACAGCTTTAAGCAACATTTAAATGGCAGTCTTGCAATGAATGTATTAATAATATTTACGAAACTAAAACGCATCTAGCGACTGAAACATATTTAGAATCTATAAGACACGATGCTAGAATAGTTAAGCTTCAAGGAAAGTTCTATGGCAGGTTTTTTTCTTTGACTTTTTCTTTAACGTATGCAACTTGGAAAGGCATCCCTCCAGATTACAAAACCACCGACATATTACATATTTAGTGACTTGAGCAAACTACTCCATTTTCCTTTTCCAATGATTTTGTAGATACCCAAGATAAGACTACTCGTATTCTAACACCTTCTAGTAAATATAATTGCACAACGACGTGTATTTGATGAGTTCCTTCTTGGGCTGGGGGCATGGGCGGATTTGGAAAGTTTTCTCCAAGAGACTTTACACTAGATCTGCAAAAAGCAGAGCAAAAGTGAACTCTGTTCACTTTGGGAAAAGGGTGGGATTCCTAGTTAGAATTATCTAGAGGGCTCCCGCGCCGAAGAAAGAGTCCGAAGGCAGGACGGCCTCATTAGGGTCTAGGAGGTTAAGCGAAAGTGAAAACCCATAAAGCTTTCCGTATGGAGGGGAGAGGAGTGGCGGGCCTGCAGGCACCGAAACTGCGGAGGCGTCCAAGCCTCGAGTAAGCAGGCCTGGCGCTAAGAGGCTGTCCTGTCATAGCTCGGCTTCCTACCCCTGTGATCCGCATCTGTTCTCGGCCCCCTTTCCAAACACGACGCCATCCATTCCCGCGCCCCACCACTACCGTGGTCTCCCTCTCACCCCGCAACTTCTCCTAAACGCTGCGGCCATGTTGACTCGCGTTGTGGACCCTCGGACTGGAGCCTCCCGGCCGCCACTCAGAGTCTGTCAGACTCCAGGCACGCGCTGGGCCCATCTGGCCCCGCCCACCTGGCCTATCTGGTCCCGCCCACCCGTGAGGGGGCGTGGCCAGGGGCAAGTCGCGGCGGAGAAACGCGGAGCAGGGCTCTGAGAGAGTGGAGGGCACGGAAGGGTGGAGCTTGGCTACGGTCGCTAGAGCGGGTCCTGCGACCTTGACAGAGGGTTCGCCCTCGCTCTCACGTGGTCACCAGAAACGCAGCACTGCTGTCTGGTGCTTTGAGTTTTCTAATGTTGCGTCTTCTCGGGAGGACGCCAGGGCAGACCGCAGGGTACGGAGGGAGGGGCGGGGGGGTGGACGCTGGGCTGGACCAGAATCCAGGCCAGAGGTGGCCGCGGGGTTCTGAAGAAGAGCTCTCCCGGAGGTGGGCGGTGACCTTTATCTGTAAAGACCCTGTCAGACTGAAGTGTTCCTAAGCTTCAAAGTACACCTCACTCACAAAGGCTGGACCAAAGAGAAAGGTTTTCTGTGCTTGGCAAAATCTAAACAGGGGAAATTAATTGCTTCGATAAATTCGACCTTTCTGAATATTTCCAAAGCGATTTTCTTTTTTTTTATCATTATTTTTAATGCCTTTGTTTGTATTTATTTATTTTTATGTGAACCCAGGGCTTCACATGAGCTAGGCGAGCGCTCTACCGCTGAGCTACAACCCCAGCCCCTCCAAAGCGATTTTCTACCCACTTATGAAAGAATGTCCTTGGAAATGAGGGTGCAAGAGGAGCCTGTCTAAAGCTTATGGCTCAGCTGATGAATGTTGACTTCTGAAGAATCCTACGTGAAGTTCACTTTGTCCTCCACTGGTACCCCGAAACGGTAGCCAGAATGTCATAAAGCCAGGGGACTGTAAAGCTGGGTTTGGATACCTCTAAAAAGCTAACAGAAGCCCAAATGAAAGCCAGGACTAATTGTTTCAACTATTCCCCAGGATTTTTAAATGCTTTCATTCTAATTTAGGCTTTTCTCAGCTTGCCTGTAAATCTTGTTACTAATTTGCTAAACATTCTGTTTTGTCTACTAAAAGCCACCATATTAGGATGAGCAAAAAGTCTTTCTAAGCCAAGCCTGGTGGTGTCTATAATTCCAGCGACTTAGAGGCTGAGGCAGGAGGATCAGAAATTCCAGCTGTCCTCAGCAACTTAGACTCTGTCTCATAATAAAGAAGACTGAAGGTGTAGCTTAGTGGTAGAGAGTGCCTGAGTTCAATTCCCCAAATCACCCCTATCCCTTCAAAAAAGACTTTATAGGGATTAAACACAAAATGTACTCATAAAGATGTGTAGGAATTTGCTACGCACAGTTATTTTTCCAATTTCTTATTAATATCAGAAAAGATGAACAAAAAAGTACAAAATCATCTGTATACCCATCACCTAGATTCAAATATATTACCATATTTATTTTATTTTATACATTTGTGGATTTTTTAAAAATCAGAACTCTTAAGTTTTACACAAGACACTCCACTTGTAAAAATACTTTAGTTATTAGCTCCTATAGGTTGTTTTTTGTCAGGGTCTGTAAACAAGTTAAGATGGTGCCTGGCATTTTGCCAGAGGGAGTGGTTGTGAAGTAATGCCAGGGAGCCATTATGTGTGGAGATTACTTATAGGTTGACTGCTGTATCTAGTTTATGTTAATTAAGAGAAGCTGTGTGGAATGTATATACCCCTCCTGTCCTACAATAAAGGGCTCCCACTCCTGCTGTATCAATGTGCCGCAGTCTGGCTGGGCACAAGATCACAAGCCACTCACAGCCTTGTAGATTCAAACAGCAATTCTTTATTCCTGAACTCACACCGGCCCTCTACAAACACGTTCTGGGGAAATCCACATTCTGCCGCAAAATTCACGTACTCCATCAGGCTCTAATCAGCAGGATTCGCCCTATTCCAGGCAGGGTACACCTTAAACCTGGAACTGCCCTAAACCCAAGGAGCAGGATACTCCCTAAACCCAGCAGGATACACCCTAAACCTGGATCTGCCCTAATCCAGTTGGATTCTCCCTAAACCCAGATCCACCCTGGTCCTTGAGCAGGGTCACCTTTCTCAAACATACATGCAATGTCACAGCGAATGTCCAAGGCAAGTCCATTTCCACGAGTCCTTCCTCTAAGCAACATGGGGTAGGCTGGCAAGGAAATTTCGATGTGTCATTCCTACTTGGCAATGGCTCTCAGCATCAATGTACACAAGTTGCTCGTCACCCCCCCCACCCCCCCACCCGTTATTTTACTGCAACCGGACTGGGGCAGTTTTTCTGTGAAGATCTTTATCACTGCTATGAAAATAATTATTCTCTACTGTCTATATGTAGATTTCTCCAATTGTTGACAAAATGACATTTGTATTTGTTTTGAATCATGATCCTATGAATGATTGCACATTCCAATTAGATTTTAACTTTCTTTGGTTTTTTTAAAACTAAAACATTTAATCTAATCAATTTCCTCTTAATAATACTAATTTGTTTTCATTGAGAACAAGCTAGGTGTCCTGAACAATGCCCTAATTTTGAGTTGTCTGTATTTTTTTTTTTGCCTCTAAATCTTGTGTTTCCTTTAAACTGCAAGTTACTAGAGGCTTGAGTGCTTCAGATTAAACATTTGGAAATGATATTTCATAAATCATACTGTGCAATTCATATATTGCATCACTATTAGAGTCATTTAATGTCAGTTTTTTTCCACTGTTGATAATAAGTTTGATCCTTGTATTAAAGTAGTGACACAGTTATTACTGTGGTTAAGGTTTATTTTTTTCCCTTTGCAAGCAAAATAACCTATAAGGTGACATTTAACATCATGCCAAACAATGTTTCTCTTAAATTTTTCCCAGTGGTAGAGATTAAATCATCTCTCAGTAAATACCATATCAATAATTGGGCACTGTTCCATAAAACTTTTATTACATTTTTTAGGTGAAATAATTAAAACATCCTAGTGTTCTTTTCTTACTTGCCATCTCTACCTAACCCATGGGAATAAATAACATGCCACCTGCCGCAACCCGGCTTTGCACAGAATCACAAGCCACTCAAGCAGGAACAAAGCTTTATTTTTAAAAAGGCCGCCAGTGCCCCGTGTGTGCCCGGCTAGCAAGCTGGTCCACACACGTGTGTGTGTCTACCGGAACCGGGGGCCTCGGACCTCCCCCAGAATTCCCACCTACTATCTTTCCCTAACCAATGGGAACTCTCTGGGAGTCCCGTAACATGAGTCCCGTAGCAGGCCGAGGTGAACAGCAGGAGTCCAATTTCCATATGAATGTAAATCTTAACATAATCATATCATCTCAATGGCTAGCTGGCAGTCACCTTAACCAAAGGTGCCATGTATCATAATACTTTTGCTGTGGCTCCTAGCACTACCTTCATGGGGAATGATCCTTCAGGAGACAAGGAGTAAAACATAAACTAGAACAAGAAGGAAGGGACTATACCTGGAAAGCTTTTAAAAGAAACTGAGGCTGGGGATGTGGCTCAAGCGGTAGCGCGCTCACCTGGCATACATGCGACCCGGGTTCAAGCCTCAGCACCACATACCAACAAAGATGTTGTGTCCGCCAAGAACTAAAAAAATAAATGTTAAAATTCTCTCCCTCTCTCTTCTCTCTCCTCTCTCACTCTCTCTTTAAAAACAAAACAAAAAAAAAAACCAAAAAACTGAGACTATCTCATACCAAACAACAACAGTTACACAATTCATATTCAGGCCAAAAGTCAAGAGTAACATGGCTATATAAAGTGCTAACCAACAAGAGGGCCATGGGTTATGTGTAGGTCACCTGGTTCATAACCTGATTTCAACATGAAATTAGTCTAATAGAGATATCAAGCACAGGCTGCTGTCCTCACACCAATTTCTATAGGGATTAGTCCCTGCTATTTGGGCCAATGTATGCACAGTCTGATCTAAGGGAAATCAATTCATGAGCTGATTAAAAATTTCCAGTGGCCTGGCACAAAAAAAGATAAATTTAGCTAATCATATTACCTGTTTTGGAAATTGAGTCAACGAAGCAGAGGTATTGATTGGTTCATGGGCAACTAAAAGCCCAGAGCCTCTACTGCTCATGTGCAAGCTAAAGTTATAAAGGAACAAAAGCTATGAGTACTGAAGGCCACTAGCTAGAAAGAAGAAAACAAAGTAAATGAGTGAAGAAAAACAGAATTACTGGAGAAAGGGGTTGGGGGAACCTTACATCTTCAAACAGAGTTCATTAGATTCATTTTTTTCCAAAACCTGCCTTCCAGTTTAAATTGTCATTAGGCCCTATTATACTTTTCTAGAGTATATTTATCCATCTATCTATCCATCTATATATATATATTTATGTATATATATTTATTTATATACACACATATATAAATATGGAAGTGATTTATGTATACATATATGCATTCTCTAGTTACTAGGTCCTTGACTTTCAGGAGATTCTCAAAATAATCTTTAAGAACTGCTGCTCTGATTATGCTAAGTGAAGCTAGCCAAGCCCTAAAAAACAAATGCCAAATGTCTTCTTTGATATAAAGAGAGCAACTAAGAACAGAACAGGAAGGAAGAACATGAGGAAAAGACTAACAGTAAACAAAGA